TCAGCATTATGAGTCTGAACCCTGACCTGAGTCAGCATTATGAGTCCTGAACCCTGAGTCAGCATTATGAGTCCTGAACCCTGAGTCAGCATCATGAGTCCTGAACCCTGAGTCAGCATTATGAGTCCTGAACCCTGACCTGAGTCAGCATCATGAGTCTGAACCCTGACCTGAGTCAGCATTATGAGTCTGAACCCTGACCTGAGTCAGCATTATGAGTCCTGAACCCTGAGTCAGCATTATGAGTCCTGAACCCTGACCTGAGTCAGCATTATGAGTCCTGAACCCTGACCTGAGTCAGCATTATGAGTCTGAACCCTGACCTGAGTCAGCATTATGAGTCCTGAACCCTGAGTCAGCATTATGAGTCCTGAACCCTGAGTCAGCATTATGAGTCCTGAACCCTGACCTGAGTCAGCATCATGAGTCTGAACCCTGAGTCAGCATTATGAGTCCTGAACCCTGACCTGAGTCAGCATTATGAGTCCTGAACCCTGAGTCATTATTATGAGTCCTGAACCCTGAGTCAGCATTATGAGTCCTGAACCCTGACCTGAGTCAGCATTATGAGTCCTGAACCCTGACCTGAGTCAGCATGATGAGTCCTGACCTGAGTCAGCATGATGAGTGCTGAACCCTGACCTTAGTCAGCATTATGAGTCCTGAACCCTGACCTGAGTCAGCATTATGAGTCCTGAACCCTGACACGAGTCAGCATTATGAGTCCTGAACCCTGACCTGAGTCAGCATCATGAGTCCTGAACCCTGACATGAGTCAGCATTATGAGTCCTGAACCCTGAGTCAGCATCATGAGTCCTGAACCCTGACCTGAGTCAGCATTATGAGTCCTGAACCCTGACATGAGTCAGCATGATGAGTCCTGAACCCTGACCTGAGTCAGCATTATGAGTCCTGAACCCTGACCAGTCAGCATTATGAGTCCTGAACCCTGACCTGAGTCAGCATTATGAGTCCTGAACCCTGACCTGAGTCAGCATTATGAGTCCTGAACCCTGACCTGAGTCAGCATGATGAGTCCTGAACCCTGACCTGAGTCAGCAATATGAGTCCTGAACCCTGAGTCAGCATTATGAGTCCTGAACCCTGAGTCAGCATGATGAGTCCTGAACCCTGAGTCAGCATGATGAGTCCTGACCCCTGACCTGAGTCAGCATGATGAGTCCTGAACCCTGACCTGAGTCAGCAATATGAGTCCTGAACCCTGAGTCAGCATTATGAGTCCTGAACCCTGAGTCAGCATTATGAGTCCTGAACCCTGAGTCAATATTATGAGTCCTGAACCCTGACCTGAGTCAGCATTATGAGTCCTGAACCCTGACCTGAGTCAGCATGATGAGTCCTGAACCCTGACCTGAGTCAGCAATATGAGTCCTGAACCCTGAGTCAGCATGATGAGTCCTGAACCCTGAGTCAGCATGATGAGTCCTGACCCCTGACCTGAGTCAGCATTATGAGTCCTGAACCCTGACATGAGTCAGCATTATGAGTCCTGAACCCTGACATGAGTCAGCATGATGAGTCCTGAACCCTGACCTGAGTCAGCATGATGAGTCCTGAACCCTGACATGAGTCAGCATGATGAGTCCTGAACCCTGACATGAGTCAGCATTATGAGTTCTGAACCCTGACATGAGTCAGCATTATAAGTCCTGAACCCTGACATGAGTCAGCATGATGAGTCCTGAACCCTGACATGAGTCAGCATGATGAGTCCTGAACCCTGACCTGAGTCAGCATGATGAGTCCTGAACCCTGACATGAGTCAGCATTATAAGTCCTGAACCCTGACATGAGTCAGCATGATGAGTCCTGAACCCTGACATGAGTCAGCATGATGAGTCCTGAACCCTGACCTGAGTCAGCATGATGAGTCCTGAACCCTGACATGAGTCAGCATTATGAGTCCTGAACCCTGACATGAGTCAGCATGATGAGTCCTGACCCCTGACCTGAGTCAGCATTATAAGTCCTGAACCCTGACATGAGTCAGCATGATGAGTCCTGAACCCTGACATGAGTCAGCATTATGAGTCTGAACCCTGACCTGAGTCAGCATGATGAGTCCTGAACCCTGAGTCAGCATTATGAGTCTGAACCCTGAGTCAGCATGATGAGTCCTGAACCCTGACCTGAGTCAGCATTATGAGTCTGAACCCTGACCTGAGTCAGCATGATGAGTCCTGAACCCTGAGTCAGCATTATGAGTCTGAACCCTGAGTCAGCATGATGAGTCCTGAACCCTGAGTCAGCATGATGAGTCCTGAACCCTGAGTCAGCATGATGAGTCCTGAACCCTGAGTCAGCATGATGAGTCCTGAACCCTGAGTCAGCATGAGTCCTGAACCCTGAGTCAGCATCATGAGTCCTGACCTGAGTCAGCATCATGAGTCCTGAACTCTGAGTCAGCATGATGAGTCCTGACCCCTGAGTCAGCATGATGAGTCCTGAACCCTGAGTCAGCATGATGAGTCCTGAACCCTGAGTCAGCATGATGAGTCCTGAACCCTGAGTCAGCATGATGAGTCCTGAACCCTGAGTCAGCATGATGAGTCCTGACCTGAGTCAGCATGATGAGTCCTGACCCCTGACCTGAGTCAGCATGATGAGTCCTGAACCCTGAGTCAGCATGATGAGTCCTGAACCCTGAGTCAGCATGATGAGTCCTGAACCCTGAGTCAGCATGATGAGTCCTGAACCCTGAACCCTGAGTCAGCATGATGAGTCCTGAACCCTGACCTGAGTCAGCATGATGAGTCCTGAACCCTGAGTCAGCATGATGAGCCCTGAACCCTGAACCCTGAGTCAGCATTATGAGTCCTGAACCCTGAGTCAGCATGATGAGCCCTGAACCCTGAACCCTGAGTCAGCATTATGAGTCCTGCACCCTGAGTCAGCATGATGAGTCCTGAACCCTGAGTCAGCATGATGAGTCCTGACCCCTGAGTCAGCATGATGAGTCCTGAACCCTGAGTCAGCATCATGAGTCCTGAACCCTGAGTCAGCATGATGAGTCCTGAACCCTGAGTCAGCATGATGAGTCCTGACCCCTGAGTCAGCATGATGAGTCCTGAACCCTGAGTCAGCATGATGAGTCCTGAACCCTGAGTCAGCATGATGAGTCCTGAACCCTGAGTCAGCATGATGAGTCCTGAACCCTGAGTCAGCACTATGAGTCCTGAACCCTGAGTCAGCATGATGAGTCCTGAACCCTGAGTCAGCATGAGTCCTGAACCCTGAGTCAGCATCATGAGTCCTGACCTGAGTCAGCATCATGAGTCCTGAACCCTGAGTCAGCATGATGAGTCCTGAACCCTGAGTCAGCATGATGAGTCCTGAACCCTGAGTCAGCATCATGAGTCCTGAACCCTGACCCCTGAGTCAGCAAGATGAGTCCTGAACCCTGAGTCAGCATCATGAGTCCTGGACCCTGAGTCAGCATGAGTCCTGAACCCTGACCTGAGTCAGCATGATGAGCCCTGAACCCTGAGTCAGCATGATGAGTCCTGAACCCTGAGTCAGCATGATGAGTCCTGACCCCCGAGTCAGCATTATGAGTCTGAGTCCTGACCTGAGTCAGCATGATGAGTCCTGAACCCTGAGTCAGCATGATGAGTCCTGAACCCTGAGTCAGCATGATGAGTCCTGACCCCTGAGTCAGCATGATGAGTCCTGAACCCTGAGTCAGCATGATGAGTCCTGACCGCTGAGTCAGCATGATGAGTCCTGACCCCTGAGTCAGCATGATGAGTCCTGAACCCTGAGTCAGCATGATGAGTCCTGAACCCTGAGTCAGCATGATGAGTCCTGAACCCTGAGTCAGCATGATGAGTCCTGAACCCTGAGTCAGCATGATGAGTCCTGAACCCTGAGTTAGCATGATGAGTCCTGAACCCTGAGTCAGCATGATGAGTCCTGACCCCTGAGTCAGCATGATGAGTCCTGAACCCTGAGTCAGCATTATGAGTCTGAACCCTGACCTGAGTCAGCATGATGAGTCCTGAACCCTGACCTGAGTCAGCATGATGAGTCCTGAACCCTGAGTCAGCATTATGAGTCTGAACCCTGACCTGAGTCAGCATGATGAGTCCTGAACCCTGACCTGAGTCAGCATGATGAGTCCTGAACCCTGAGTCAGCATGATGAGTCCTGAACCCTGACCTGAGTCAGCATGATGAGTCCTGAACCCTGAGTCAGCATGATGAGTCCTGAACCCTGACCTGAGTCAGCATGATGAGTCCTGACCCCTGAGTCAGCATGATGAGTCCTGAACCCTGACCTGAGTCAGCATGATGAGTCCTGAACCCTGAGTCAGCATGATGAGTCCTGAACCCTGACCTGAGTCAGCATGATGAGTCCTGAACCCTGAGTCAGCATGATGAGTCCTGAACCCTGACCTGAGTCAGCATGATGAGTCCTGACCCCTGAGTCAGCATGATGAGTCCTGAACCCTGACCCCTGAGTCAGCATCATGAGTCCTGACCCCTGAGTCAGCATGATGAGTCCTGAACCCTGACCTGAGTCAGCATGATGAGTCCTGACCCCTGAGTCAGCATGATGAGTCCTGAACCCTGACCTGAGTCAGCATGATGAGTCCTGAACCCTGAGTCAGCATGATGAGTCCTGAACCCTGACCTGAGTCAGCATGATGAGTCCTGAACCCTGAGGTCAGCATGATGAGTCCTGAACCCTGACCTGAGTCAGCATGATGAGTCCTGACCCCTGAGTCAGCATGATGAGTCCTGAACCCTGACCCCTGAGTCAGCATCATGAGTCCTGACCCCTGAGTCAGCATGATGAGTCCTGACCCCTGACCCCTGAGTCAGCATGATGAGTCCTGACCCCTGACCCCTGAGTCAGCATGATGAGTCCTGACCCCTGACCCCTGAGTCAGCATGATGAGTCTACATAGTTCCTTTATAGCCTAACATTAGCCGCCTTTAGCTTAGCGGTGGTGAGGTCATGTGATATAATCTCTCACCAGTCCGCAGCTCCTGGCCTGTGATTGGCTCAGGAAGGCAGCGAAGTCTCTGAGCAGCTGAGGCCACGCCCCCAACACGCCTCGCAGCTCACTGTACAGACACACCACTGAGGAGGGGGGGGAGAACCCATCCAACACCTGTAACAGGTGATCAGAGAGGGGGGGGGAGGACTGCAGCGCATCACACACCTGCACAGAGAACACACACATCAACACACACCTGCACAGAGAACACACACATCAACACACACCTGCAGAGAGAACACACACATCAACACACACCTGCAGAGAGAACACACACATCAACACACACCTGCAGAGAGAACACACACATCAACACACACCTGCAGAGAGAACACACACATTTGGAAAATAATCAGTGATGTTATTGAAAACAGGAGGTCTCACTCTGAGCAGATAATCCTCAGCAAACACTTCGTCGTCTTCAGAACGCAGAGGATCCTCTTCATCCTACCCACACACACACACCACACCCACACACACACACACACACACCCACCCACACACACCCACACACACACCACACACACCCACACACACACACACACACACAACACACACACAACACACACCACACACACACACACCACACACACACACACACACACACACACACACACACACCACACACACACACACCACACACACACACACACACACACACCACACACACACACACACACAC